TCTTTCTTTCTTTCTTTCTTTCTTTCTTTCTTTCTTTCTTTCTTTCTCTCTCTCTCTCTTTCTTTCTCTTTCTTTCCTTTCTTTTTCTTTCCTTCCTTTCTTTTCTTTCATACTTTTCCTTCTTTGTCTCTTTCTTTCCTTCCTTTCTTTTCTTTCTTTTCTTTCCTTTGTTTCTTCTTCTTTTTCTTTCCTAGTTTCTTTCTGTCTGGCTGTCTCTTTCCTTCCTTCCTTCATTTCTTTTTCTTTCTTTCCTTTCTTTCTTTTTTCTTTCTTTCTTTCTTCCTTCCTTCCTTCCTTTCTTATTCTTTCTTTCTTTTCTTTCTTTTTCTCTTTTTTCCTTTATTTGGTTTTTTCTTTCTTTTTTTCATAATTTCTTTCTGTTTCCTTCCTTCCTTCCTTCCTTCTTTTCTTTCTTTCTTTCCTTCTTTTCTTTCATGCTTTCTTTCCCTCCCTCCCTCCCTCCCTCCCTTCCTGCCAAGGATAGATACCTTCAATGTTCAGATAAATGGTCATTTCCTGGATGATGTTACCTGGTATTTCATATTCTGTTCCAATCAGCTGAAGCCTGTCCTCCGAGTTATTAATTCTCCCTTGATCAGATTTTACAGGGGGTAAAAAAAAATACTCACATGGACACACCCAATGACAGCCACAGGTTTCCTCCACTTTAACTGCAGGGAAATTGTTGTGACACGTTGGCTTGGCCATCTTCTCACAAAGATGCCGGTGGCTTTTCAGTTCTGTGCGGCCACCTGGTAAGCAGGTCACGCTATAACACTGATCCAGCAACTGCCACTTGTCACCAGGCTGCACAAAAAGACACATCCACATTAAAAAAATAGCATCCAGGTTTAAGGAAATCCTCAAGGTGATCTCCTTCGGTGGTCTCCATCCAATGGGCACCAAACTCTGATTTGGAATCTAAAGCAGAGATGTCCAACCTTGGGAACTTGAAGATCTGTGGACTTTAACTCAGAGGTGGACTGGTTCAGGAGAGCCCCTAGCTGAGATTCGGTGCAGTTCGGAGAACCGCCCAAATCCCACTCCTGGCTGGCCCCGCCCACCCCTCCCCTCCCAGGAGTCGCCACGTGGCCCCTTTTGGATGCAGGTAAGTACAGGGTGTGTGTGTGGAGGCTCAGGGAGGGCAAAAAACGGGCCTCCCAGAAGTTCGGGAAGGCTGGAAATGGGCCTGTTTCTGGCTTCCAGAGAGCCTCCGGAGTCTGGGGAGGCCGTTTTCACCCTCCTGGAGATTCGAAGAAAGCCTCTGGAGCCCAGGGAGGGCAAAAGTGCCCCCTGCCATGATGCAGGAGGTCGACTAGGCCACGCCCACCCAGCAACCGGGCAGAGAACCCGTCGTTAAAATTTTTGAAGCCCACCCCAGCTTTAACTCCCAGAATTCCTTAGCGAACCATGCTGGCTGGGGAATTCTGGGAATTGAAGTCCACAAGTTGCCAAAGTTGGACAGCCCTGATCTGAACGTCCATGGGAAAAGACATTAACAAAGGAACAAAATTCAAGCATATTTTTTGCCTGGAAAAAATTAACAGTGTAGAATTGCTGCCCTTAAATTTGGGTGCTTTCCTAATGTCTAGACTTTCATTCACAGCCAGCATGGCTATTGCTGAGAATTTTGAGCCATCTATGCAATTGGAAGAGTTCCAAATTGGGGGAAACGGCTATACAGAAATTCTGGACTTAAACCAGTTTAAGTGACTATATTTTCCACTGATTTCAGTGGGACCATTCCTTCACCCTGGAATCCATAGGATTTGATTATTGTACTTTGATTCATTATGTGCTAAGGTTGCTAAACAATGACCATGTGGAACCAGTTTGATGGGCGAGAAGAATGCTTAGTGTTATGCTGGCTGGCATACCTTCCATATATATATATATATTTTAAAACAAAAATGGTATAAAGAAAAAAAATTCTCAACTCTGGAAAAGGAAAACTGACATTAGGAAGGAACACAAAACTATTTAGCCGATTCTAGCCAAAAAACTTGAGCTATGCCAGACAGAAATAGTGCTAATTCAGACCGCCGATGAATACAGATACAACTATTCAATTAATAACCGTTCAAAGTTACGACACTGCTAAAAAAGTCCTCACACTTAATGACTGTTGCATCATTCCCTACAGTCAAAGGATCAAATTTTGGGCGCTTGGCAACCAGCATTGATTTATAATAGTTGCAATGTCCTAAGTTATGTGATCACCAGCCAACTTCAAAATAAAAATCGACACTCTGCCCACCCAAACACAGTGAAGAAAATTACATTGGTGCATTTTTATTTTTTTTTCATAAATAAAAAGTGGCTTGGTTGCACTTGGCTGAGATGGAAGAATTTAGTTCCACGAATTCCTCTGCCCGATAGAAATAAAGGAACTAAAAAAAGGTTCATGTATGAGTTTGGCAGAAGAGGTTCTTGTGTTGCTTTCATTAGCGTGCGCTCCATTTATGAGATGCCAAATCATTTAAGATTTTTATAGGGGAAAATAGGCAAATTTGTCTACAAGAAAGAATTGGGAAAATGTCTTGAATGAGCCAAGGGCTCCAGCAATCCAACAAAATCGACAGCATTGATACAATGCAAGTCTTCCCCCTACAGACGGAAAGTCACAAACACAGTCATGGTGAATGTCCAGGGCCGTGATGGCGAACCGATGGCACGCATACCACAAGCGGCACGCAGAACCATTTGTGCTGGCACGCGAGCCGTAGGCAAACTTACCTCATTGCGCATGCATGTGCCTCACAGCTGATTTTTTTTTGGCTAGTTTGAGGCCTCTTTCGGCCTCCCAGAGGCTTGGAAAAAGCCTCTGCAAGGCTTTTCAGGTCTAATTATAGGCCCGTTTCATCAGGAAGTGATAAAACAGACCTAGAATTTGGCCTGAAAAGTCTTGCAGAGGCTTTTTCCAAGCCTCTGGGAGGCTGAAAAAGGCCTCACAACAGCCAAAAAATCAGCTGTGAGGCGCAGTGCAGGTAAGGGGGTGGCGGGGGGGATTGTGCGTGCATGCAGAGGGGGTATGGGCAGACGGGGCGCACATTCTGGGTGCTGGCATGTGAGTGCATGCGCGCTGGTGCACACGCAATTTTTGGCACAGGAGCCCCAAAAGGTTAGCCACCACTGGTGTAGGGAGAGGTGTTTTTTCAAGAGGCAACTGTACTTTCTGGTTTTTCTTTGAAGATATTTCACTTCTCATCCAAGAAGCTTCTTGGATGAGAAGCTAAACGTCTTCAAGAAAACCCAGAAAACCCAGTTGCCTCTTGAAAAAACACTTTTGGGACAATCATGGTGACCATCATCTCCAGCTTCATCCTGTAGGAAAGGACTCAGATTGGCTACCTCATAGGAATGCAAGATGGTGGAAGCTGTTCTGACCTCGGCTTGACAAAATCACGAAACAGACTCCTTGTCCCTACAAAACCCCTTTTTATTTGGCTAAAGTGAATTCCTATCATTCATATCCAGCAAAGTCCAGGCAAACAGACCTTATCTGAATTACAAACACAGACTTTATCAGGCTTGGAGGGTTGCCAGACTGATAGATTCCAAGTGCAACGCTGTACAAGGAAAATCTTGGCAAGTAGTGTCTGTGAGTCACGAACTCAGGCAAGCGAATATTCACACTAATTAAACGAACTAATTGTCTCCTGCAAACACCACTCCCCTTTCATTCCTATTTATTCCTATGGGAGGGGCCATTCACCATCCACTTGTGCTTTTACTCCCGAGTCGACTCCTGTTCCTTAATTGTTCCCTTCTCCTGACAGCTCTGCGCATGCGCACATTGGGAACAGGCTCCAGCTGTTCTTCTGCCCCACTGACCTCCAACTCTGAAGGCAGCTGATAACTGTCAGGTGGCCCTGGCCCCAGCTCTGCCTCCAATGCAGAGCCTTTGTCAGAGCTTTCCCCAGACTCCAGGACTGGCCCATGTTCCTCCACAACCTCCTCATTGTCCGAGTCTGCCACCAGCTCCACAGACCACTGGCGGACCATAACAGAAGCATCTTCAGACTCAGAAGATCTGCACCTTGATTTCCTGCCCAAACTAATTCCCTCCAACTCTGTGAATTGGCCATCCATAACAGATGATGTCTCTAAAAGTCACAGAATGTGTGAATGACATACTTACTGCTCTGATATTCCCCTCTTCGTCGATACACTCTTGAGCACCCTCTGAAAAGAAAGCCACCCAAAGACATTTGTAAGACGTCATCATAAAACGTGAGATAATAATCACACTGAAGCAGATATACAAGTAGTCCTTGACTTACAACCACAACTGAGCCCGAAATTTAGGTTGCTAAGTGAAACATAACTGAATTATGCCCCGTTTTATGAATTTTCTTGGTGCAGTTCTTAAGCAAATCAATGCAGCTGTTAAGTTAGTAACATGGTTGATGAGTGAATCTGGTTTTCCCATTGACTTTGCTTGTCAGAAGGTTGCAAAGAAGGATCAAGTGACTTTAGGACACTGCAACCATCATAAGTACAAGCCAGTTGCCAAACGATTAAATTATGATCATGTGACCATGGAGGTGCTGCAATGGTCATGCATGTGAAAAATGGTCATAAGTCACTTTTTTCAATTCCCTTGTAACTTTGAACAATCGCTAAATGAACTGACTAGTTTTGACTAGTTTGGAGGTTCGGCAAATATCACCTGTGGCTGGGCCTGCCCACCCACCTCCGCTGTTTCCTGTCCTCTATTCTCCTGTTTTTCAGCTCAGCTGATTTGTGCGGCAGAGTGAATTGCGGTGCCTCAGCTGAGGTAAAAAACAGCTCACCTCACTAGCACTGACACAGAGGGTGTCAAGCCCGAAACTGACACACATGTAGCCATTTTATTTAGCCCTAATATATATTATTTTTCTTTCTTTCTCTTTGCTGGTTATGGGGGGGAAAGGGTTTTGGGCTTGCCACATTCCTAAGGTGAGAGGAGTGGAGATAGAAAGAGTTGTTTAGGCTAGGTGGCTCTCCTTCCCATGGGAACAAAAGCTGACCCTGTTGAGACCTGAAGGTGGAGATTGTTGACACCAGGCAATGTTGATTTACTTCTATTGGGGAATGTGACTTTGCGGGGCTGTTTCTAATTTCCAATATTATATGGTATAATTCCGGGTCATGTCAGATCCGGAATTACAACAGACTTTGTCAATTGGATGCTTTCCTAAATAAAAGAAATTGTTTTGGAAGACGGACTTTGCTCTTTTCTTTTTAAATGGATTTCATCACTTGGAAATCTGACAGAGGGTAGTTTTTGAGTGCTTCGCGCACGCTCTCATGATAGAACCAGTAGGAAAAAATTTGGAAACCCACCACAGAGTGTGATATGGGGCTTACCTGTACAAAGCTTCTTCATAAATTCATCACCCAACGTGATCATCGTAGAAAGATCTTCAAAATGTTGCAACTTAATGATCGTGTCTTTAGCAGATGGTCCCACTAAAGCACTCAATTGTTCCGCATTATATTTGGTGCCAACGCCAATGGGAAGCAGTGAAACTCCTGGGAAAAGCAGAACAGATTGAAATCCTCCTTAATTCAATTTGAACTTCAATACAAGCGTTCAAACAAACAAACACACAGTTTAGTTAAAATCAGTTTTGGAATAATAATGATAATTATTTCCATTCTCTATTTTCAGCACAAGATTTTTTTTTTCCCCTGCTCACCAGAACAGAATCATGACAAACTCTCAGAAGATTGAAAAACAACAACAACATTATTGTAAAGATCCTAGTCTCATTTTACAATGAATTCGTGTCACTAAAATAATCCTAAATTGCTGTGTAAATTAGTGTGGATTGAACACTGTCAGTTATCTAAAAAGATTTGCACAATCAAGAGCCTAGTTTTGCTGCAAACACTCCCCCCCCCCCCCCGCGCTCTGTGGAGCAAAAATAATTAAGTCAATCAAGAATTCAGCCTTAACTCAGAAGCTGACCCTACAGCTTTAAAATCGATTGTAGTTTTTGTAAGAAGCTTAATTAGCCCTTAAATTCTTAAAGTTGCTCCCACTTTAATTTAATCACCTTTAATCACAGTTCTACTCAAGAGCGGAGAATTAAGATGGGGGGGGAAACCACATAATTTGAGATCCACATCCAATATCTGATTGGACAGTTACGTATTTTCAGCTGTACTCAGAATCTAAATTTATTGCATCACAAGAATAGTATAATTTCACAATATATCTAGACTGTTTGAAAGAAAAGAAAACTGGCTTATGGACCAGTACAGGATTTTTCAATATGCCATTTTAGACACATTTTTGCTCAGCCAAGGGTTATAACCACGTTTATTTTTTTTAATAGAGCTTGTTTTAATGTCCGAAAGTAGACAAAGATGGTCGAATTCCTAAGCCGGTCAACCAGAGCATTGGATAGGATTATCATCAAGGAAAATCATCCCGCTTTCCTTTTTCTTCAATCCGCTTTAAAAACTTCTGATTACCTTTCATGACACAGCATGAAGAGGTAATCCTACCTGAAGATTTACCCCAGGACTGATGAGTAGATGATAAGGTCACGGCTAGGCTACATGTTATACTACCGGCCACATGTAAATTATGCACGGTGACCTCTTCTCTCTTGCATGGCAACTGTGGAGGCCTGGATTTTGCACAATATTCCACAAGAGAAAAGAGCCTGCTTCTCCTTCTCTTCGACCATCTAACTCTCTGTTCTCCCCAAAGGAATTCGCCACCGTTTACCTGCTGTAGGCTGTATGCAACGTCCAGAACACCAAATGGCAAAGCCAATAAGTGTCTCTCAACAAGCCAGAGAAAGAGACGTTAACACAGTACCTCCTCCCTTGAAAAAGCTTTTTCTCCTGGGAGCACCTGGGGAAACATTCACAGGTACTGAAAAATGTACGCTCTACTGTTAACCAGGGGGCGGGCTTCAAAAATTTTAGCAACGGGTTCTCTGCCCAGTTGCTGGGTGGGCGTGGCCATGGTGGGTGTGGCCTCGTCAGCTTCCTGTACCACGGTGGTGGGGAGTGTTTTAGCCTTCCCCGGGCTCCTCAGGCTTCCCTCAGGCCTCTGGGAGGGTGAAAATGGCCTTCCTGGGCTCTGGAGTCTCTCTGGAAGCCAGAAACGGGCCCATTTCTGGCCTTCCCAAACTTCCGGGAGGCCTGGTTTTTGCCCTCCCTGAGCCTCAGCGTGTGCCCTGCACTTACCTGCATCCAAAATGAGCCGCATGGGGACTCAGGGGAGGGGAGGGG